ATCGAGCGATAACTTTCTCTCTCGGAAAGCTTTGACAAGCGCTGCTGTGCTGTCAGACCAAAGCACGAGAAAACGAAGAGAAGTATAACGACGAGACGAGGAGAGGAACATACGAGGCGAAGCGAGAGGAGGGGAGATGAAATTCAATGACTAGAAATTAGATGAGGAGCAGAGGAGAAGAGAGGGGAGGAGAGGAGAGGAGAGGAGAGGAGAGAGGAGGGGAGGGGAGGGGAGGGGAGGGGGGAGGGGAGGGGAGGGGAGGGGAGAGGGGAGGGGAGGGGAGGGGAGAGGGCTGGGAAAGAGATAGGACAGCATGGAGGAGAGTACGAGGAAGCAACGTGAGAAGGGGAACGAAATGACTCAGAGACTGAACGTAAAAGAGGAGAGAGGAAAGCGAGGAAAGTACCTGCACAGGCCCTGCTGTTCCCCAGCATGGAGGCGACGTGAAGTGGCTAGGAAACGCTGAGAGGCAGAGGTGGAGAGGAGAAACAACTTACAGTCCTTCCAAGATTGTTTTTCCTCCTGAGCAGCAACAGCATCTCCTCCTCCTCCTCTTCCCCCTCCTTGTCCTTCTCATCCTCGTCTCCGTCGTCGTCCCTCCTCCTCGCCTCTTCTCCACTCGTCCCTTCCTCCCCTTGCCAGACAAACTCATCCTGCACAATCGCCTCCTGCGAAGAGCTCGGTGAAGAAAGTTGAAGGAGGAAGAAGTCGATCATGTCCGCCTTGTCTGATCGTGCTGCTCCTAAAGTCACTTCTTGTAGGAGGAGTAAAAGAATGACGGAACATAGAGGAGGAGGGAGAGGGACGATGTTGAAGAGGAGGAGCAGGAGCAAGTCTTGAGGAGGAGGAGGAGGAGGAGGAGGAGGAGGGTTGTAAACACGGTGGTAGAAGAAGAGTGGTGGACGGGGAGGGGCAAGGTTCACCGGCATAGTGCATGGCGATATTTCCCTCGTTGCAGGACTGCAGAACAAGGAAAAGGAGGGTGAGAAAGGAGGCGAAGGGGGGAGGGCAGGAGGAGGAGCAGGTGGCAGGAGCAGGTGGCAGGAGGAGGAGGAGGTAATCCAACCTGCGTCAGATTCGCTCGTCCAGCTTCAAGGATTCGCTTGGCTAGTCTGACCTCCCCCCATAGGCCGCGTAATGCAGGCAAGTGCGACCCGAGGCGTCGGTGCGAGACAGGAAGGAGTCGTCGAGCAGGAGGAAGTCGAAAATCTCAGCATCCCCTCTCGCAGCTGCACAGTGAAGGGGCAGGACGCCATGATGGTTCGGCTGGTTGGCGAGGGAGTGGAAGAGTGTCGTCAGAGTTGTTCCTGTCTCCTGCTCTCCTTGCTTCTCCCTCCCTCCTCCCTCCTCCTCCTCTTCCTCCTCCAGTTCCTTCTCCAGCCCTGTGGTCTCTTCCACCTCAAACTCCTGCAGGATCTGAATGATCTCCTCTGCCATCTCGCTCGAGCATCTCGAGGCAGCGAAATGCAATATGTTGTCACCCAGTGAATTGACAGCATCACAGCTTGCCCTTCGAAGCACATATCAGATTTCGATTCCTCCCCCCCCCCCCTCTCCTCACTCCCCGTTCCTCCTTCCTCCTGCTCCTCCCTCCTGCTCCATTCCTCGTCATCATCATCGTCATCATTATTACTTCTGATCGACAAGAAGTTTGACGATCTTCAAATGTCCACCACTGCAGCAGGTGTTACCATCAGAAGGACGGTGTAGGAGATAGGCAGTAGAAGAGGGAGGGAGGGAGGGAGGGAGGGAGGGAGAGCAGGAGAGGGAGCAGCAGCAGTGGCAAGAGCAAGAGCAAGAGCAAGAGCAAGAAGAAGAGGAGCAGGTAGTGGTGGCGGAGGAGAAAAGCTTATCATGCTCGTCGAACCTCACGGCCAGTAGCAGGGGAGTAGCTCCGTCTACTGAGGACGGGAAGTTTACCGCCTCCTCCTTCATGGCTGTTCACACACAGACGGAGATCAGAACAGGCTCCTTCCTCCTTCAAATCCTCAAAACCCCCTCGACCCCTTCCCCTTCCCACGTTTTCTCTTCCTGCTGCCCTTTCTCACTATCCCTGCTCCTGCTCCTGCTCCTGCTCCTGCTCCTGCTCCTGCTCCTGCTCCTGCTCCTGCTCCTGCTCCTGCTCCTGCTCCTGCTCCTGCTCCTGCTCCTGCTCCTGCTCTTAATCCCGCCCCTGCCCCTGCTCCTGCTCCTGCCCCCCTGCTCGTACTCCTCCCCCCTGCTCCTGCTTCTCTAGTCCTCCTGCCTCCCTGCCTCCCTCCTACTAACGAGCTTCTCCCACCTTCGCTGATCGCCTCCAGCACGACCTCCATCCCCTCCTGGTTCCCTTCCCACGCGCAGCAGTGAAGTGGGGAGACTTCGTTGCTGTCCCTCACCAGCGGATCGAATCCTGCCCAGCTGGTCACCCCACAAACACCCGAGCTGAACGGGTTTCCATGAAACGGACCGAGCTCAATTAGTTTGCGGATTGCCGAGGGCTGCCCCTGCAGGCAGGCCAAGTGCAGCAGCGTCTGCGACGTCTCGTCCCTGGCGTTGCCACGTCATCATGGACGAGCCCAACTGGTGCTCACCTGGCGAACCAGAGGACCTCCCGAGCAGATCTCTTGAGCTTCCCTTGCCTGTCCGTCTCGTGCAGCAGATCCCACAACTTGGAAGAGTCAGCACAGTCGGACGAGGATCGGGAGGGAGGGAAGGAGGGAGGGAGGGAGAAGGAGGTACCTCATTCCACTGCTGCTTCCTCGCCATCTTAAAGCAGGAGCTTTGCAGCTCCTCCTCCCGCATGACGTCAAACTTATCACACCCCTCCAGCTGGGCAAGTAGCTTGTTGCTCAGCTCCTTGCTCTCGGTCAATTTTACCCCCAGCAGGTGCGAGAGGATGAAGACTGAGAAGATAAACCCCATGCAGTCTAGGTGACCTGCGAGCTTTGAGGTCTGGTTGAACCTCCGTGCAAAGCGGAAGGCGTGAGAAGCATCGGAACGAGAGATGTGCTTGTCTGCGATGAATAGGATGGAAGTCAGAAGTGGGGGAAGGTGGTGTGAGGAGAGGAAGAAGAGAGGGAGGGAGAAAGAGCGGGAGGTAGGGAGAACGTAATTAGCATGACAAGGAGCACATTACAAGGAGCACATTACAAGTCACTGAGATATGATACAGCTGCAAACCATTACAGACATCATCATCATCCCTCGACTCTATCATCGCAGTTCCAAGTCAGCAACAGCTGTGCATCTCTCACATCTCAACATCGTCGTGCTTTCAGCGAGAAAGTCAAAGTCGTCAGAGTCCGACCCCTGCATCAGGTTAGTGAGCAGGCAAGAGATTTCCGGCGGCCGTTACTCTTCTCCTCTCCTCCTGCTCTCTGGAAGGGACCAGCCTGCAGCCCACGAGGAAGGCGATAAATTCATTCCTTCCTCCAAAACGTCACTCCGAGAACCAACACTCCTCCTCTCCACCTTCCTCTCCCTATCCCTCCCTTCCTCCCTCCTCCTATCCCTGCCTGCCTTCCCGGCTGCCTGCACGTCTCGTTCCTTGCACATATTCTTCCCTGCCTGTCTTCCTGCCTTCCGTTCTCCATCCTTTCCTCCCTCCCACCTGCTCAACAATCCGTCTCGGTTCTGACGGACCAGATACTTGAAAACTCGAGCAAGCCTGCTACAAGGTCAGCACATTCAGCCTCCAGCCCGTCTACCGACCTCCTTCCTCCCTCGCTCTCCTCCACGTAGTTGCGCTTGCAAGCGTCGATCTGATCTCCCGAGTCAGGCACAGGAGCTGAAGTTGCATGTGCGATCTTACATGGATAATGCTGACCTTGGCGAGAATCTAGGGGGAACATCAGAGCCTCCGGTAAATCTATCCTCCTCCTCCTCCTCCACCACCACCACCACCACCTCCTCCTCCTCCTCCTCCTCCTCATTCCTCCTCATTCCTCCTCCTCCTCCTCCTCCTCCTCCTCCTCCTCCGTTTCCACCACCACCACCACGTCCTCTCCTCCTCCACCCCAAAAACCTTCTCATTCCTCACCTGGCTCCATCTCTTCCCATGATCTCCCCCTTCAAGCTCCTCGAATATCTTCAGACTCCTCCCTCCTCTCATCTCCTCCTCCTTGTTGGCAGGGACAGTGTGCAGGGTCGAGCTCAACTCGAACGACTCCTGCTGGGCAAGGAGGAAGCTGGGAATGATCCTGGCCCTGAAGAGGAAGAAGAAGACTTTTCGGAGGGAAACTGAAGTGTTCACGTCCACGTCTCGAGGGTCCACTGCTGCCAGATGCGACCAAACAAGCTTGAACTCATCCATATCCAGCATCCTTCCTTCCTCCGCCTCCGAATTCTTGTCCTTGATCTTCAGCTGCGAGCTGGCAGAGTTTCTCAAGTTGATCACCAGCGATCCTTCAGAGGATGTGAGCGTAGAAATGGCTGGAGGAGGAAGATCTTTCCTATGGTGGGCAGAGGAGGAGGAGGGGGAGGAGGAGCGGTAGAGTGCTCGTTCACCAGATACCTTGTAACCAACAAACTTGAGCATTTCAAGCAGGTGCCCCAGGCTCATTGTCGACTCCACCAGGTCGAACCCGAACAAGACCAGCAGCTTTGCGAAGCCCACATGCCCGACCTTTGTCGAGAAGAGGAGAAGCGAGGTCAATGCAGGTTGCATCCTCCTCCTCCGGAACCTCGTGAGGTACCCCAGTGCCCGGGCCCTGATCCTTCCGTGAGGGTTCCCGGGCCCGATGATCTTGCGGAGGTTGTGGAGCTCGGAGATGTTGATACTGCCTAATCCCTCCATGTTCTGACTCAGAAAGCGCCGCAGGTCGACGCTGTTGACTCGTCCCTTGTCGCTGAAGTCCATGACTCTGAACACAAGCTCGAGCTCCTCCTCCGTGAACGCCTCGATGCCCATGCTCGGTCGAAATTTCATGCGCACGACGCTCTTGAACCGCGGCAGCTCCATCTCCCCCTGGCAGACTTCGGCCGGAGGCGAGCTTTGCAGGACCTTCTTGAGCTCGTTAAGGCGAGTCACCTCGATTGACTTGAGGGATCTTGACTTCTTGGTCTGTGACAAGCTGAGAAGCTGCTTGGACCGCTCTCTGCTCCTCTTCAGCCGCTCCTCTTCAGCTGGCTCTGGGCTGGACTGAAGTTTCTTCAGACTCCTGCCAGAACTTCGAAATTGTCAAAATTCACTGCATTGCTGAATTTCCTGAGGACGAAATTTGGGAGGAAGACAGAAGAAAGTAGAGACTAGGATCACACAGTCAAGATCGGGGAAGGAGGAGAGAGGAAGGGAAAGCAGGAAAGTGGGAGGGGAAGGGGATCAATTCAGACGGTGGGAGAAACAAACCTTTCCTTCTCCTTCAGCATGAGCAACCGGAGCTGCTTCAGCTCCTCCAGCAAGACTAGTTCCTTCTTGCTCTTCCATGCGCTCCCATCGCCATCCCCTCCTCTCATCAGGCCGCCTCTCATCCCCTCCCCTCCCCTCCCCTCCCTCCTCTCCTCCAGAAGCCGCAGCTCCGGCAACTTGACTGCCATGATCGCTTGTCAACTGCCACCACCCCTCATCCCCCTCCAAACTTGGAACGGGCCGGGGCTCTGGCCGCCCGGGTCAGGGGCAGCGCCGGGTCCGGGCTGGCCGCCGCCTCGTCCGCCCGGGCCCCAGAATCCCCGGCCCGGCGGCCGGCGGCGGCCCAAGAGAAAGTTGTCTAAGGCGGGGAGGATGGCGGGGATGGCGGGGGCGGGAATTAGTAGGGTGGGTCCCCAGTGTGTGACACTGGGGACAACCGCCGGGTCTTCACTGGGGGAGTCGGCGAGTCCGAGCAAGTGAATTCACCTACGTTTTCATTTCACTCTCACACTATTTACAACAACCTCCTCCTACTGCCGTCCCTCGTCAACCGCATTCGCAGCAGCTTGCGCGACTCGTCGGCCACACAGACTTGATCCCCCGAGCAGGCGATGGCAACGATGGCGTTGGGGGACTTGAAGAAGGCCCGGGGGGACCAGGAGGCCTCGGGCCCCGACGGGAGGTTGTATACCATGATGTTCCCCTGCTCGCACGCAAGCACGAACTTCTCCGACGTCCAGGTCAGCTGAGCCTTGGAGTCCCAGCGGAGGAGGCAGGAGAAGGAGGAAACGTCCCACAGGCTCACCCGCCCTCCCTGACAGCAGCTGATGAGCCGACTCGCTGCCTCTGTGAACCGCAGGTGGTTCACGGAGCCCTCGTGCCCCACCAGGTCGACCCCTGCTGGGGATCCCTCTAGGAAGTGCCAGAGCTTGATCCTCCCGTCTTGCCCTCCGCTCGCCAGCAGGTTTGGGTTCGACAAGCTGCAGGCCAGGGATGCGACGCCGCTGTCATGCCCCCTCAGCGTCCTCCTGAGGTGACCCCCCGTGACGCTCCAGACCCTGATGGTCCTGTCGGAACTCCCACTCGCCAGCACGGCCGGGTCGCTAGGATGGAAGAGAAGGCAGCAGACGGCGCCGCTGTGGCCGGTGAGGGGAGGGAGGATCACACGGAACTTCTGGACGTCCCACAGTCGGATTGTCGTGTCCGAGCTGCAGCTGGCCAGCAAGTTGGGGTCGTGCGGGCTGAAGGCGACGTCCAGGACGTAGTCCGTGTGCCCTCCCAGCCCCGCACTCGTCGCAGCTCCCGTCTCAAAGTTCCACACCTGGATGGTCTTGTCTGCGCTGCACGACGCTACAACCGTCGGGTCCTGGGGGTTGAAGGCGATCTTGTAGACTCTCCCCGCGTGCGCTTCCTCCTCCTCTACCACCTGCCGGTCTTTGTCCACCACCCACACCTTGACGGCGCGATCGCTCGACCCGGACACCAGGATCTTGCCGTTGTGATTGAAGCACAGCGAGTTGATGCCCTTCTCGTGTCCCCTCAGGATCGCGTGCACCTCCCCGCCCTTGGAGCTCCACACTCGGATGCTTTTGTCTTCACTCCCGCTCACTAGGAACCCCCCGCACCTCGTCCATGCCACCGCATGGACTTCACGTGCATGCCCTCGTAGGACGAGCCGGTCCTCCCCTGAGTGAAAGTCCCATACTCGCACCACCCTGTCCTCCCCGGCACTTGCTAGCTCGCTGGAGGAGGAGGGGTTGAAGCAAACCGCCCGGACCCAGTCTGCATGCTTTGTGTATGCGATGAGTTGGCGGTGGGTGGAGAGGTTCCATACTCTAACGGTCTCGTCGTAGCTCGAGGACGCAAGGAGCTGCTCGTCTCTTGGATGAAATTGCACGCACGTGATGCCTGCCTGATGCCCAGCTAGGGTAGCCTTCAGTTCCCCGGTCTTAGCGTAGGACACAAAGATCGCCTCCTCGCTCCCTCCCAGCTCTCCTCCAGCTACTGCAATGTACGACGAGTTAGAGGAGAAGGACGCGGTGTTGAGGTTGCTCGTGAAGGAGTGAGCATCGCCCTGCTTGCTCCAGGTACTCGTGCTCCACATGCACATCCTCTGATCCCACCCGACGCTCGCCAGGAGGTCGCTGTTGGGGCTGAAGGACACGGAGGAGACTTGTGCGGAGTGTCCACGGATGACGGCACGGACGTCGCCTGTTGTACTGCTGCAGATGACGACCGTCCCGTCTGTGCTGCAGGAGGCCAAGAGCTTTCCCGAAGGCGAGATAGCAACAGCCATGACCGCGTCCTCATGCTCCTGAACCGTCAGCGTGCAGGGGTGCGACACGAGCGGCTTGTTCAGCCAGTCAACGAAGAGCATGGAGCCGAAGTTCCCGCTGAAGACTTCGCTCTCGCGGAAGCAGCGGAGGACGGCAGACCGGTCGGGCTCTTGGAAGGCAAGCTGGAAGGAGACGTTGTGGCAAGGCGGCGCATGCCATATCTCGAGGTTCCTGCCTATGAAGCCCTTGACCTCGTGCAGCGCGACCACCGAGTCCGGGAAGACCTTGAGAGCATGCGAGCACTCTCGCAGGAGCTCGACGACTCCGTCGGCAAGCATCTTTGCCGTCATGTACTCGAGGGAGCAGAGCTCGGCAACGGCTCTGCGCTCATCTCGGCATGCGATGAGGTGGTGGACCAGCACGTGAATCCTGCGGTAGTTGAGTACTCGCTCCCCTGGAGGAGAAAAGATGGTGCCATACAGGACGATAGGCTGACGGGGAACCAATCGATCTCCCTTCAGCTCGTTGAACGTGTCTTTCAGGAGCTTCAGCAGCTGCCCTGTGTAAGGCTTCCTTCTCTTGCTCCATGTGCCATCGAAGTAGTCAGCAAGTTGGCTGTGCCTTTCGATCTTGTCCTTGAATCCCCGTGAGGTTCCAAACAGCCAAGTTTCGACGACTTCCGCCAGCTTCTCGTTCCTGTAGGCGACGCACTTCATGTGATCCCCGTCGGAGAATCGATAGAGGTGGTGCCGCAGGTCGTGCAGCAGCGACTTCACCAAGAACGGGGGGATGACCCGCACGTGCGGCACAGCCCAGAAGTAAGCTTCAGCAAGGGCATCGTCGTCCAAGGAGAGGAGATGAAACAGCTCCGTCTCATCGAGGTACTGCGGGCCGGCAAGTGCGATGAACGCGAGGGAAGACCGGACCAGCTCCCTCCCGTGCTTGACCTGGAGTCCCTCAAAGAAGTCCACCAGCAGCCCGATCACAGACGGGTTGATAGCATGCACCACCCCTCCAAAAGACGGCCAGTCTTGTACCGTAGAGGCGACGAGCGACAGCCAGAAGGTGGAACAGACCATGTCCTCCCTGCGGTTGAAGGCATCCGACACCTCCGACCACTGCTCGTTGGTGATCTTCCTGCCCTCGCGTTTCAGGCAGCAGGACAAGAAGGCCTTGGCGTCACTGACGCCTTCGAGGATCAGCTTGTTCGGATGGCCCGAGAGCAACGGCAGGCTCTTCCGATGACTTTGATCGTGATGGTTCTCAGGTTTGCCGAACGACAGGACCATTCTGACGCAGTCAGGGAGAGGGCCTAGAGGGATCCAGTTGAGATGGGACCCGGAGTATCTCTGGTCAAGTTCATCGACTCCGTCGATAAACATTGTGAGTGGGCAAACTTGGCTCGGCCAGTCGTTGATTGCCTTGCGGAAGTAAGCCACCACATCGCGGAAGGTGATAACAGAGAAATCCTCGTCAGTCCTGCTGTAGGCAGATCGCAGTTGCTGGCATATGCTCTTCAGCAAACCCATCTGCGTCTTGGACCTGTTGGAAGCCCCGACAACCCGAACGACCACACAGCCTGAGGTATTTGCGTTGATCGCTTCCTTAGCAACTTTGCACATCAGGGCGGTCTTCCCTGACCCTTGTGGCCCCGAGATGTAGAAGATATGATTATCACTGTTGATCGTGGTAAGGTCGAGATACTTGCGTAGATTGTCGATCATGTGATCTGTGTCTGGATTGGAGCAGAATCTTTGGGCTTCTTCTGTAACAAAATTCAGATGTGTTTTGACCTCTTCGACGACATGGTTATGACACCTTCTTCGAGCCCGAGCTGCATCCAAGATAAGGTTGCTGACCACAGAACACATCTCATCACACAACTTCTTTAGATAGTTGGCATGCTCCAAACTCTCCAAGGGATTCAATCCCGACATCTCATTCCAATCGTTCACAAGATACTCATGCCGCTCCAGCGCTCCTGGCATCGAGTCCAAGAACTTAGACAACATCTGCTGGGAGTCCACATCAATCATCCCGGACTCATTCACGTCCACAAAAATTTTAAAAGCGGGATGAGAGACTTTAGCTGCATCTAATCCGAGAATCTTGCGATTGAAAACAACTCTTTCAAGGTTGGTCATATACACCTCTTGCCTGACATCGCCATGCGTGAACTCTCGTTCCATCATACCAAGCATCATCATCTTCATGTCGTCATCTTTGATTCTGCCCCCACCATGCGAAGAGTCTATTGACGATATCATCCTAGCAGCGTTGCTGAGAATAATCCGGATCCTCTCAAATGTCCTCCTCCAATTTTCATCGATCTTGTTCAGCTGCAACACGTAGCTTGGTCCCTTGCCAATTCCCCCATCGAATCTTTCCACCTGTTCTTGATTGATATCAAGCGCAAAGAATTCTTTCAGGAGCTTCTTGTCATGCGCGTTATCGATGGTCTTGAGAAGGTCTTCAAACCTCTGTTTCGCGATTCTTGTTGGGAACGACCTGATCCCGTACTTTTGCCCGACGATCAGAATGTGGCAGAAACGCAAACTTCTTCGCTGTGACAGGTCAAGCTCGTTCAGACTGATTTCCTCGAACGAGTGAGCATTGCTGAAATCGACGTCGATCCCCCATCGGTTCTCGCAGACGTCAAGATACACCCCATTTAATCGTGCCATCTCCTGCCAGAACGGAACCAGGTCCTTCCTCACAAAGTTCCTCTCCCACTCGCTGTCCTCCAAGGAGGTGACGAAAACTCTCACGCCGAAGCTGCTCGTCAGAGCCTTGCTGGAGCTCGCCTGATCCCCTCCCACCAAACCGCGGAGAATCCATCCTTCCTCGGAAACCTCGTGAGGAACGCTCGGCTCGTCAGAAACAGGGCGCAGCATCTCCCTCCAGCCCTCCCGAAGCACACGAGGGATCTCAAAACCAGGCACGGACTCAAGGTTGATGTCTGAGCTGTCCGTAGCAATCTGCTCTGCCATCTCTAGGAAGGCAAGGCGCTGTGCTGCAACCTTGGACCCTTCGTCCAGGTCCCTCTCATCAAAGATGGATAGCGATCGAAGCCTCGAGCTTCTGTGCCTCCCCTTTCCTCTCTGCTTCTTGGCATCAGCACTGAACAGTCTGCTCGGTCCGCATCCTCCCCCCAAGGACTTGTACGCTGCAAACAGTGTCGATCCATTGATCAGCCCAATCTCAGTGAGAGTGCGGCTATCATGCAGTCCCCTGCCTGCATGCGTCAACCAAACCTGGAGATTACACAACTCTTCTTGCTGATCTTGCAGTTTTTCCTTGAGTGTGCTCACACTGGAAGACGGATCGACAGTGATCACTCGAGTTTGTCCGCAGCCTACTACAAAGAGTTGCATGGGTTCGTAGATTCAGTAGTAATCGCCTTCAAACATGAGAAGTCTTCAACATAGAGCTTGCGATGATATTTGGTTGAATTTAGCTCCAAGTCGAAGAGAGATCTGAGGGTATCTGCTCCTTCCAACGATCAATGTTACCACAGTGAAGTACTAGTCTCGCCAGGGACGGAAGTTGCGAAATAATATTTCAAATCTTTCTTCACACTTCTTCTGTCTCGCCCCACTTGATTCAGTTCCTTCCTACCATCATCTTTCATCCCTACTTGCAAGCATGGTCTGGGGTCATCGTCTTTTGCTTCCCGCTTCCCAACGACGCCCGCCATGACAGCGCCTGATAAGTAGCATTTTATCCCCCGTGGTTGCCCACCCCACCCCCTGTCAGCAAGGATCGTAATTCCTACACACCAAATCTTTTCTTTTTCACCCCCTCTCAATAGTCAGCTATTTCCTGTAACCATGGGGTACTCTTGCAGTACCCTACCTCACTGAATGACTATTCTTATCTGTACCCCACCCCCATATAAAATAATCCAACGCTTTCACGGAGTACCCCTACCCCCCCAAACTACGTCTCCTCCACACTCTTCAAGGTGGTCAAGTCGACTCCGGAGAGGTCGGTCGTTCCTCAGACCCGTGGTCGCTGACCTGTGTATACTATGTCCTCCTCCTCCTCCTCCTCCTCCTCCTCCTCCTCCTCCTCTCACTGACATCATCGTTTACACCACTGTCCTCTAGTCGTCTTTCACTGTTGTCTACGAGTTCAAAATCTTCCCTTGCCCTTTCAGTCTTTTATTGACCTCATTGGCCTCGTCTCCCATACACAGAGGCTGTCATTCTTGTTCGACTGATCCGGCTCTACTGCTCTTGATCTTTCAAGAAGTCTATGCCGTTGTTGTCATGCAAGCTTCATAGGCGCAACTGGTCGAATTGACACATGATCACCAAAAAGCGAAGCATTGGCTGAGCTCACACTGATTGTCGCTACAGAGCATTTGATGTCTTGGCAACTAAAAGTCTAACTTTGTTGGTCGCTCGTCAAGGACGGAATGTGTTGCCAAACATTCAAGGCTCGTCGGCCAAGCCTGAGCGCATACTGGTCAAGATTAGGTTTGGTTCTCGCTGTCTTTTGTCCTCTCCGTTTGGCTAGTGCGACAGTGTCAGGGTCAAGCCTCCTCGACTCTCCTGATTGTCCTCGTACTGATCTTTAACTTAACTTTGAGTAAAGAAAGGGTCAAGTTTGCCGACTCAGCGACGTGCTACGGTATGACACACTTACGTAAGAAAGGCTTAACACTCGAGAGCCCCGGCACCGCATAGAGCACCGGAAAGCGAAACCTTGACATTTCGTGCATCAGTGATCCCTCATGATCCGCCTACGTCAGACTGACCAGCCATCTGACCGCATCATGGCGAAGTGAGGAGGGGTGGGGTAGTTTACAGCTGCCCTCCTGCCCCTTCATCCTCTTCTCCAAGCCTCACCGACCAACAAACTCGCTCAAGCTCCCTCACACACATCGGCTTTGCTCTCTCCAACCATGATGCGCAAACCAACCATGCGTTTTGTACTGCCCATGAGCATCGTGAACATCGTTCTTGGCCTCGGACTGTTCATCGCGGGCATAGTCCCGGCAGCTTACCAAGTACAGAGATGCGACGAGGCTCTTGCGTCGTCCTCTTTCTCCTCTCCTTCCTCCTCCTCCTCGCCCCCCTCCTCCTCGCCCCCCTCCTCATCTCCCTCAACCTCCATCTCCAACTTAGGATACGACTCTGGGTTCAACAGGGGTTATGACAATGGATACAACAGGGGGTACAACAGAGGATACAATACAGGATACGAGTCGAAGTTCGTGTACACTTACAATTCAGGCTACAACTACGGGTACAACACAGGTTACAACACGGGTTACTACGACAACCCACAGTCCTTGACATACAGCAACAGCGGATACTCCTCGATATACTACTCTAGCGGCAAATACTCGACAACGTACAACTATGGATACAACTCGGGATACAACCTGGATACAAGTTTAGACTTGTCTGGGTACTCCTCGAGTTACAACATGGGGTACAACATAGGATATAACTCGGGGTACAATTCGGGGTACTGCAGCGGGTTCGATATCGGTAGCTACTCGGGCTTCAACACAGGATACAACGCAGGCTTCCAAGCTGGACACAACTCGGGATACAGCACAGGCCAGCTCATACATGACAGCGCCAGCACAGCAGGCTCGTGCACGAGAAATTTACAGGGAGTCTCCATAGGGGGGCTGAGACTTGCAGCATGCAACACAGCCGGATGTTGTCGGGTGGAGGTGCAGCACAACGGAGCATGGGGAACGGTTTGTGACGACGACTTCTCGAGCCCAGACGCACAAGTAGTCTGCAGGCAAGTCGGATGTACGACAACGTACGCGATGTCGGTTGGCTCCTTCGGGGGAGGGACCGGAACCATCTGGATGGATCAAGTGTCATGCAGCGGCAGCGAGTCGCAGCTTACGTCATGCTCCTTTGGAGGGTGGGCTTCCCATGATTGCGTACACAGCGAAGACGTGGCTGTCTGCTGTCCTTCCTCGCCGACAACCTACTCCTCCGGACTGATCTCCGGGGACTACAACAGCCAGGTAGCAGCAGGGCACCTGACTTCGAGCTACAACCTGGACCTGAGCTCCGTCCACGACTCCGGATATAATGCTGGGTATCAGAGTGGGCAGTATTCCTCCTCAATGTCCACCTCATCGTCGTCCACCTCATCGTCGTCCACCTCATCGTCGTCAACCTCATCGTCGTCAACCTCATCGTCGTCAACCTCATCGTCGTCAACCTCATCGTCATCTTCGGTGGTCTCTTATTCGAGCCTACGTTTATGTGAAAGCCACCGCAACGCAGCGAAAGCGCTGCTCACATCCTTGGGATTGTGCGGTTTGATCCCAGCAATTTTCCCCTTGTTCTTCGGAGCCACGGGAGTGTTCACCAGCAAGTACAAGAGCAAGGTTTTCGGGGGTTTACTTCTCGCAGTCCTCATCCTCGGTATCCTCAGCTGTTTGGGAGGAGGGTCAGCAGCCCTGAGTCTCGCCCTGGCGTCCGATTGGGAGTGCGGTAAGAATAGCTTGCTCATGCTTCAGGGATCGCTGACCTCGGGCCATTATGGCAGATTTACACCAGCGATACACGGGTCAAGGCTTCTGCAAGACGTTAGCTGGGAGTGCACGGGCGATCGCGAGCTTGAGTCTGATCCTCTTCATCTTTCAGCTCGCATTCTCCATCATGATGTGCTCTCTGTGCTGTTGTCAGCCCGAGCAGTGGATCGAAGGAGGCAGGACGGCCCCCGAGCACGGCCCTCACGTCCTGTCGGTCGCGTGCGCTGAGGTGAAGACGGAGGAACCTCCTCTAACCGTCATATCGTTGGAGAACGACAACTGCGAGTGGATCAAGTCAGCCTTGGGCCCCGCAGGTTACTCGCCGGAGAGGGCGAGACTCGAGCGGAGCCACGACGGCTGAAGGGCTCCGAAGCCGCAACTGTTACTTCATACCGTCCGGGATCGTACCGCACTCAGCTGAGTAAGCTTGGATGGTAAGTGATCGAAGCCTCGAGCTTCTGTGCCTCCCCTTCCCACGCTGTTTTTTGGCATCAGCACCTCACTTGAAGTACTCTACCTCGCTGAATCATTGCTCTCCTCTGCACTCCACCCTCATCCAAACGATATTTTGTCGTTGGAGAAAGAAAGCCTGTAAGTTGTCCACAAGTTCAAAACCGTCCCCTGCCCAATGAGACTTTCATTGACCTCCGTGACTTCATCTCCCATACACAGAGGATTCCGTTCTTGTTTGACTGTTCCGGCCTACTACTCTTGATCTTCCAAGAGATTACCCTGCAAGCTTCCCCTCCCTGTTAGCACTGACCGATTGTGTGCGATGACATTACTAGTGCCACAACACTGACAGGCGCAACTCAGCCGATCAAGTTGACATCGGAGTGTATTGAACTTCTCAGTCCTTGGTCTTCTGGCCACACTCAAGCGAAGAGCATTTGATGTTTTGGCAAATCCCATTGACTTGACCCCGGCGTGCCAGGGTCAATGGCGAGTCGAACTGAAGTTTTAAAAATCAGAAGAGAAAAGACAGTAAGAACCAGCCCTAATCTTGCCCACTGCTGTCCCCCAAACTTAACTGATTTCACTTGAATGCGCGCAGTCACGACTCTCTCAGTCGAACATGAACGACTCTTTGTGTAAATTTTTTTCAGCACCTCGCAAGCCCGACGGTCGGACGGATTGAGTCCGCCAGCGCTCATCACTACTATGTCTATATGTGTATTGACGAGGCCCCTGATCAGAGTCTCCAGACGCCGCACAATGAAGTAGATTACGTGACCGACGCCGGGTGACAGCCCACGTTGTACCGCAATACTCCAACACGTATAGCGGCGTGGTAGCTTTGCTAGTACGGACTCGGAATCATTGGTACAGTTGCGCGCCTCATTTGTACGGGCAGTACCGTTCGCAGTGAGACCCTTTAAAATGGACCGAGATTGATCTGCGGAAATGTCGTTACCTCGTGACCCCGCTGTCTAGTACAAGTGCTCCTTTTACATCTGGGTGGGGTTCGTGAGATCGGAGGAGGGGTCCATGGAGGCCGGGCTGGACGGTCGTAAATGATACAAGTCTTATTTTAGAACAGCCCGCGGATACGAGTATGCGCGAAAGGGTGGGAAAATGGGGTTTCTTCACCAAAATTCAGTATAAAACTGAGGGGAAAGACATCTTTTCGAATTGGACGTTTCCAGAAATGAGTGGTTTCGCAAAGTCTTGCGATCCCGTGCGTGTCAGTCAAAACCATGATTGGGAATCTCCCTGACACTACCCCCTAGGTTTTTCACCCCTACCCCCTCCAAGACCTTGTTGGACAGGACCACACTCCTCATACTTTGACCGACAAAAGTACCCCCCACCCGCCATGGTCCCAGGGATACGTCCCCACCCCTGACTGTCATGGCACACGTTTACGCCTAACTAAAACATCTGGCCGTTGGGTCATCCCATGTTCCTCCACCTGGTGAAATATTCCTCCAGCCAGGCAATTGTACCCCACCCTATGTCCCCCCTTTTGCCCACTTTACTAGGGTGTACACCTGGTACTACTCCGCCCTCTCGAAACGGCGGGGTGGGTGTTGAGTATGTAGGTGTTACTCATGACCGGTGGTGGGTACTTTCAGGTATTTTCGGGGGTATGGGAAAAGTGATCAAGATATCGTGAGGTGGGTATTCCCTAAGAAGTCGGAGCATTTATCTTGGCCAAGGGGTGGGGTGGGGTTACTAGTCTGGAGTGTCTCTGTCCACAGGGGTAGGCTCGGACAATTGACGTTTTTGGGGTGGGGGTGGGGTTGGGAGAGGTAGTAGTGAAACAGCAACAAAGGGACTCAACACAGGGTTCAATGCAGGGACGCAGCGACTGCGGCAGTCAGGGATGTGAGGGATGGGGATGGAGGGATGTAGATGCGGTTCTATGAGCATAGTTCGTTCTGATGTAGATGAAGAGCAGCTGAATGTCTTCGACAGCATGAGTTTGAAGCCCGAAAGTGATTCTGTGCTTTGCAGGTTGTTGTTCGACAACCAACCGCGATGCTGTCAGAGTCGATACGCCAAGCCATAAATGCGCGCAGGGATGCGCTGCACAACCCAAAGTGGAATCAAGAGCAGCTAAACCATGCCCAAGAGGATGGGAGAACCATGATCATCATTGAAGGATTTGTGTTTGATGTGACTCCATTCTTGCCAAGGCATCCCGGAGGAGAGTTCACCATCAAGCACTTTGCCTCGAAGGATGCAACGGAAAAATTCTTTCGGATCCACAGTAACATGGCCTTTGAAGAGCTCCCTGCTTTGTACGCTGGTGATTTTATCAGTGAGCTGACTGCAAGCAACATGGGCAATGAAAGTTCACCCAAGAACAAAGAACAAAGCAAATCGAAAGCAGATGCTACATTGTTTAGCCGAAGGAAAAGTCCGACTGGACAGAGCGGCGAAAGAAGCGATTCGCCCAAACACGGAAACCGCAAGTCTCCAATTGGCAAGGAAGCTTCGAAGGATAGTCCCGTATCAGACGAGACTGAGAAACCCCTTTCGCCCAAACCGAGCAAGGAGATCATAACCTTTATTCATCGCTCGAAGAAGGATAAGAATGGTAATGACCATCATCATGATGGAAAGGACAAGATATATCATCCAGGCGTGGCCTCGCTGTCCGCCTCTGTGATCTTGGGGGGTTCCGAGATCCCGAATCTGAAGGACATACATGGATACACTTTCGAGACGCTCGATGTCTTGGAAGAGGAGAAGGAGCAGACTAGCTGGGATTCCGATGAGACCCAGCGAGTACGCGACTCAAGCGCTGAGGCTGATGACCTTGCAAGCCCTCATAGTGCCAACGCACATGATAACAAATCTGGATGGGAAGATATCGAAAAGAGCTTGGAACCATTTAAAACGACTGAATCGGATGAATTCAGGCGAACTTCATCTGATGGCTCCTTGACGACGAAGCTGCAGAACCAGGAGTTCGGTAGGACTTCGTCTGGTTCATTTCCAAGGATCCCGTCGAGTGGTTTTGATCTCTTCAAGCGAACTTCGTCCACTGGCTCTATAGGACGCACAAGCAGTTCTGGCAGGGCTCATTCCGGCAAACAAGATCGGTTGGCGGAACTACATGTTGGTGTGGACATGAATAGTGGAGGGTCTTGTCCATTCATGGCGATCTCCGAAGCTTACAAGAATGGCAATGGTCTGGAAAAGCCTAGGGATGCCAAGAATTCCTCAAGGAAAAACAGCACATCAAGCTCCGGAGATCGGAACCGCCGTCGAAGCTCCATCGAAAACATTTTCGCCAACATGAATGGACAATCGGGAAATGGAGAAGGGCATGCAAGGAAGACAGATCCATTCAGCAATTCCAGAGAATTCTATACTGCGCCGGAACAAGCATGTGAATCCCCCAGATCCGTTAGATCGCGCTCCACACATTCGTTGGCATCGTCGCGTCAGGCGCCAACTGTTTCCAGTTCAAGGAGATCTGGAACGAATCTCAAATCTGCAGGAGGTGTTTTCAGGAGCGGGCGTCAGAGGCGCAAGAGGGCAGGCTTGAAGGCCAGCAAAGCACCTATTATTGACGCGGAGGAATGGAAATATCATGCAGAATTTGTTGCCCAGTCATGGGAAAAGTTGATCAAGAAAGTGTCGTATGCTGATTTGGGATGCATGATCTATGAGTCTGTGAGAGACGATGAACATCTTGAACCAATGTTTCGCTTCACAAATGCTGCAGTTCAAGGTACAAAGTTCGTTGACATGCTTTCCAGCATTGTTGACAACATACATTCTCCGGCCAGCATATACTTCAAGATCGCAGAATTGGCACCAATGCATCATCGCAAAGGCGTGCACCAGAGTCAAATGCCCATCATGCAAAAAATCATTTTAGGTGTGTTTTCAACAGCTCTGGGCAAAGATTTCACTACTGAAGAGCACAGAGCGTGGACATGGATGTGGTCTTTCCTGGCAGAGGCGCTAGAGCAGTCATTGAAAGACGTGAGTTCGACTCTTGGTCTTGTGCGAGATTCCTGGGACACCATATCTGAGAAATATACTGCAAGTGATCTTGGAGGGATGATCTATGATGGTCTCTTTAAGCTGGCCCCGAGTGCAGCCTCCCTATTCAACAAGCCACGTGATTACATGGCTGTCAAGATGGGTGATACACTCGGGATGCTTGTTTCGTTTGCAGATGAACCAGACGATATGAAGCAACAAGTGGCATGGCTCGGGCTACGACATGTTAATTATCATGTGAGGCCTCATCACATTCCTTTGATCGGACCCGTGATCATGAATGCTCTCGCCGACGCTGCTGAGGATGCCTGGACTGAGGAAGTTGAGAAATCATGGGGGACAATCTTCCGAATGGTTTGCGAAAACATGGCAGAGGCCATCCGAGAGGGCGAAGACTACGCGGCGCCTTTGCATGAAGCGTCTGAACTCATCCGAGACCCAGCCAATGAGAGGAGGTTGAAGCAGTGTCTTCGTACCGCGCTTGCAAAGCTCTGCCCACATCTGTTCCGCAGCGCATTCGAAAATAGCAGGCTTCGATTCCAGAAGATGGTGCGCGAGCACAAAGTAGCCGAGGCCAACGAAAAATTGCAGCAGAATTCCCAGAAGAGATTGGGTGGGAAATCTATGCGCAATATTCAATCTGACGCGGTAAGGTGGGAGTATGTTACAGTATTGTCTCACTGCGGATTTTCAGTTCTTTTCTTCTGTTCTCCAACTCAACAAAAGCAAATCTAACGGAGAGGGTATATACATTTTTCCGTGTGCGTTCAGTTGTCTTGACTGATCGTGGTTGCGTTGTCCAGAAACCCACACTGATTCGAAACTTGTTGTAAACAAGTTCCATGAAGAAGAGGAGGTATACTGGTAATTTGCAGTCTATTCGAATGCTGATCGAATACCAGGAACTCATTAACACAGTCTATTCATTCTTGATTGAAGTGACTGCGCTGGTCTGGCAACCGGAGAAGCAGATTGAGAAAGTCTACATATTCTCTCCAAAGTTTTATGATTGGTAACTTTGAGTGTTATTTGTTCCAAGGTTTATTGACTGACGTTCTTTGCAGTGGAATAAGGAGCGATCACCTGTCTTCAATTGCTGAGGCGATAGAGCTTGCAATTGCTGACACGTTGGGGTCACGGTATGAGACCTTGACTGTTTTCACAATAGTATTGCACTCTGACTTGGAATGTTCAGTTGGAATGAAAACTTGACTCTGGCGCTCCGTTGGCTGTGGAGGATGAACATGGATGTAGGCGATCTCTATGGTCTCTTGCACAAAGAGCTTATTTGTACCCCCGCAGGCGTTTTCCCGCGATCTAGAGGGTCATGATTCCAACATGAATCAGGTTGTCTGGAATGACTGGAACGCCGTGAAGGAGAAATGCAAGGAAGAGGTCAGCAGAAGTACTTCCCCAGTTGATGATTTTGATTTCGGTCATTGCGACAGGAGCTCGGTCAACTGTTCTGGAAGCATCTCAACGAGCTGGTTCGTCATTTGTGCCTGAGTTTTGTCATATGACTTGCACCCTCCAGGCTCCTGAGCAGACCCATCTCTTCCGACGCTCGTTGAAGATGTATACTGGAAGTTCACCTGCCTTGCAGCGCAACTGAACATTGTGCATGTTCAGGTGGGGAACCCTTGTCCATCACATTGTCAACATGCTCATCGTGAGCATCACCGATCCCGAGGTGCTGAGTTGAACTCTTGAAAGTGGTTAAAAGCTGACGCACGTTCAAAAGGAATTCTTCAAAAATCTGTTCGAGTTGACAGTGCGACACATTCGTTATGGTGTCCGAGCGGAGTACCTCAGTCCATTTGGACAAGCAGTGATCGCTATGTTGGAGGAGGTGCGTTCTTGACTTTATTTTGCCTGATTGCCTGATGTGCGTCACAGATTTTAGCGGAATCATGGACTGAAAAGTCTGAAAAGGCATGGAAAGAGGTTTCGATGCATCGATTGCCAGAGCAGGCACTGTTACGTCTGACAACTTGTCTAGATGTGGAAGCGAGCAGCAAACAGCATGTCTCGCGGCCTGAACCTCGGAGGCAACGGTATCACCCACGCGCTGGTCGATGGAGACGTGGATGAGTTGCGGGATGCCGTTGCTTGTTCACCTCGCAACCAGAGAGCCAAATGGTTGTGTGAGGTGAGATCGCTGCAGGTGGTGATTTTGGAGCTGATTCCAAGCAGTTGAATATCAATGGAGCCACCCTCTCGCCGTTGTACTGGGCGTTGCACGATGGCAAGTACCCACTCGTGGAGTTCATTTTGAGGTTTGAAGAGCTCAGATGACAGTTGAGTTTGACGTTGTATGAACAGTGATCTCTTGACGATCAGAGCGGACATCCATGGGTACTACTACGGACGACAGGTCTCGCTCTTGCTGTTGTTTATCGTTTAAGATCTTCAGTCACCTTCCTTTCTGAACAGGAGATGTTTCAGTATCATCCTGATCTAGTCGAGACTCTCGCGAGAGAGAGTGGATCGCTGGTTCAAGTCCTGCTCGACGGCCTTCTGTGGCATTCCAAGCAGAAGTTTGCAGGAAGAAAGGTCGCTTCATTGTGGCATGTCTGCCATAGGACTGACTGGTAGTTCAGGTCAAAGTGAACTACTACATCAAAGACCTGTACGGCGATCCGGACCAAAGCAAGGATCCATGGATCTCTCCGCTCGCCTGGCTTGTCGAGCTTGGTATTTCACAACAGAGAACACGAACCTTGAAGGAGAAGATGGCTGACGTTGCTTCGAAGGTGATCAAGAGTGCTTCCAACACCCTGCCGTCCGCAAGACATTCGAGTTGAAGTGGCAGCTCTTTGGCCTGAGGATCTTCTTCTTCAAGGAGCTCAGCTACATGGTTATGCTCTTCTTGTTCATGTGGGAAATCGTGGCAGACAGTTCCGGATGCCACCACAAGTCCGAGGTGAGTGCGGTCAGTTCTTTCAACATCCAGATAACTTTGTTTCTGCTCAGTCTATTCGAATCGCTCTTATGGTTGCCACTGTCTTCTCGCTGGCGATTCAGGTGAATATTTCATCCATCCACAGCAGGACATTAATCGCGTTTGATTAGCTCTGGATCTTCTGTTTTCAAATTGTCAGGAAGATGTATCTTCCCCTCAACCTCGGCTTTTGCGTTTTACACCTTCCGAGGTATAGTGCTGTTGCCATGTCACTCAAATAGGAGACGTCTTCCATCTGACCGGCTTGCAGATACTTCTGGAATATTTGGAATATCCTACGAGTTGTGTCGTGCTTGTTGATCATCATTACCTACGCCACACGGGTAAGAATGAGAGAAACCCTCCGTTGGAGATTTTGATCCTTGATTCAGAATTGTGAGGAGAACGACTGTCCTTCTGGGGGCCCTTGCACAACACCAGCAGGTGAACCTCCATCTGACTTCCAGCTGTTGCAACTGATCGCGCAACTTCAGTCGATGCCGAGACAGATGATACCATCAACAGTACGAAAGTGATCCAGGCCATCTCTGCCGTCTTCCTGTGGGTCCAAGTGTTCCAGGTAACGAGGAATTCCTCGGATAGTGGAGAATCTCACTCTACCCAACAGATCAGCATCCTGTCGACTCCTATGGCTGCCTTCACCTACACCATTGGCATCATGTTGCACGACATCAGCCATTCCCTCTTCATGATCCTTGTCTTGTTGGCGGGTGTGGCTCCCTGCTTGCAACACATACATTCCTGACTTGCATCGCAGCGTTTGGAAGTGCTCTTTCAATCCTAGCTGAGGGACCCTTCAACGAGGGCCTGGACACGAGTCTGGTCGTGCTTTTCCAGACTGTAAGAACTGCCGTGCTGAGCTCGCAAAGCCTGATGCTTTCCCTCAAAAGATTGTGGGCATCTCCTCCCCGAACTACAGCACCATTGGCTCGTTTACTAGGGCGCTCCTCCTCATCTTCGTGACGTGAGTCTTCACACTCCTCGGAGTTTCTTCCGATTGCTCATCCCCTCCTGTTCTCATCTTCCCCTTACGGCTGTTTCGTGCAGTTGCATCACTATTGGTCTGCTCAACATCCTCATCGCTCAGCTGACCATCACCTACGACAAGCTCAACGAGGGCAAGGATGGGTTTGCAATGAGGAACAGGTTTGCACATTTCCTGCTGCGGCTCGAAGATGCCTGATGCTAGCGATAGGACAATTACGTGCATTGAGATCGAGTCTTTCATGCCACTGAGCTGGAGAAGGTGAACAGGAGGGGAAGGCGAAGGAGGAAGAGATGGGGAGCCGAGAGGAGGAGGAACAAGCACGGGGGAGAGGAGGAGGTGCTGAAGATCTCATGTTTGTTGTGCAGGCGATGCTTCAATTACATCGGCTTCGATGATCCCCTGCCCTTCGCTGATGGGGACGACGGGCCGTCGGGAGGCATCCAGGTAGCAAGAGGAAGTCTGTACCCTCCTGCTCTTCTCTGACCCTCCACCAGGACCTCGAGGGAGATGACTGCCCACGGTATGTTCCCGATCGGATCTTCAGATTCACGGGGGATGCAAATGAGAACGATCCCTGGCCATCCATCGTCGAGAACAATGTTCCGGAGAATGTGGTGGAGGAGTGAAGAGTGGCGGAGTGAGGTTTTTACTTGTTTTCATTGCGGAGCACAAATATCTTGATGACTGCCATGATGAATTCCTGCTTGCTTTTGTGATTTTTGATGTGATAGTAAAGATTTTGTAAACCTTATAAGTGACATTCTTGTTCTCCGCGCCTCGCTCTCGCGCCGCTGGCAAAGCTTCAGTGAGGAGGAGCAGGAGGAGGCAGCTTCTCACCTAGCACATTTCGCGCAGAATCCAAGAGTTTGCAACTCGGGATGTTCCATCCTTCACTCTGTTGGCAGTGAGCGACATCAGCCGGATCGACCAGACGAGCTAGATCTCAGCTGGGGTTGCGCAGCAGGGGATAGCTTCACTGACCTCATGCAGTACGTCAGAAGAGCTCTGATTCATCTGGCGCAAGATGCTGATGAAAACGTCGTAGTCCACTTGCCCTGCAGGAGCAGTGAGGGTCGAGAGAGGACATGGAGAGTCGAGGAGCAGGTGAGGAGGAGTGGGTGGAGGGTGGAAGAGAAGAACAGAACTTGAAGAAGTTGTGGGAGAGGGAGAAAGGAGGCAGGAGCAGGAAGTGAGGGACAGGAGCAGGAGGGAGGGAACAAGCGTGTCGGACCCTTCGCATCGACGTCGCACGAGTTGAAGATATACTCAGCATGCTCGAAGAATTCCTGCCATGAGATGGATCAGCCTTACCTCCCCGCCCTCTCCATCGCCCCCGCCCTCCCACTCACCTCGTACATGAGGCAGGCATTGATGCCCGCGGCGAAGTAAGAGAAGGAGATGCTCTCCGAAGTCTTCTTGTCCATCACCTGGGGACGGCCGAGGACGTCAGTAGAGCCTCTTCGTCCTCATCGTCTCCCGTGCTCCTCTCAGCCAGCGACTCCCCCCCTCTCCCCATCGGCAGCGGCAGCGGCACTAGCACACGCTCCTCACCTTGGTCAAGGACTCGATCACTTCAGGAGGAAAGTCACTGCAGAAGAGCTTGATAAGGCTGAGATATTGTGCTCCTGTCAGCCCGCTCTGACCCTGCATCTCGCTATGCCTACCAGGCGCATCAGGATACTGTGAAGAGCAGCAAAAGAGGAAGGGCAAGGTATGAGGAAAAGAGAAGAGGGCTCTAGGATGGAGGAAAGGAGTTGCAGGAGCAGGAGCAGGAGCAGGAGCAGGAGTAGGAGTAGGCGCAGTAGCAGTAGCAGTAGCAGGAGCAGGAGCAGGAGCAGGAGCAGGAGCAGGAGCAGGAGCAGCAATCTCTATCACCTGACCAATGTGAAATACGCAGAGGCCAAGTTATCCATGAATGCCTGCCTGTTCCTTCTGGTCAAACGGATGTATCGGTATGATCGCTGGGTCGAAGATTTCCCCTGCACGTCCTGGTCAAAGATCGCCCATCCTCGCCAGCAGCTCACATGAAGAGCGTTGTTGAGGTAGTCTGCTATGAACTCCAGCGGCTTCTCCGGCCGGTTTTCGAGGACGAGCGTGATGCAGTCCTTGAGGTAAACGTTGACGCCGAACCTGATCTCGGAGGGTTCAGGGGAGCAGGGAGCAGGGAGCGGGAGCAGGGGGAGCAGGGGGAGCCGGGGGAGCAGGGAGCAGGGAGCAGGGAGCAGGGGGCAGCAACAACTTGTCCAGATACTCCTCCTGCGACAGCCTCGCCTCTGCGTGCTGACCCGACCTCGACGCCTTGGGAGAGGGATAAGTATGAGGTGAGGGACATCAGGCGACTCGTCGGCGACTCACCTGCTCCCCCTCCTTCTTCTCCTTCGTCGACAAGTTCATCTCGCACTGGTCACTCTATCCTCTGCTCTGCCTGCCTGCCTACCTGCCCACCTGCTTCGTATCGTCTCCTCTCCTCTCTAATCTACCTCTCCCCTCCCCTCCTCTCCTCTCCTCTCCTCTCCTCTCCTCCTCCTCCTCTCCCTCCCCTCAGCCTTGTCGCTTCTCCCCTCTGCCTGCCACCTCCATCACCACACGACTCGCTGAAGCCTTCGCATTCCCGCCATCTGGATAGCAAATTTGGCAACTCCGTGTTACCTAGCTAGACATCGGCCATGGCCGGCCTCATGGTCGGCACAGGGGGCGGCATGGGGGGGAGCGAGAGGGGGCGGGAGGAGGAGGAGGACGAGATGATGGCGCTCGCAGAAGAGGAGGCGAAGAAGGCGCTCGAGGAGGGAGAAGTTCCAGTTGGCTGCGTCATGGTGAGGGGAGGAGTCGTGATCGCCCGAGGGCACAACAAGACCAACGAGCGCATGGACGCTACGCGCCATGCTGAGATGGTGGCGATCGACTCGCTCGTGGAGGAGGGCGGAGACAATCTCTGGGCGCAGCAGCTGCTTGCTGGCTGTACGCTGTACGTGACATGCGAGCCCTGTATCATGTGTGCCTCTGCGCTTGCGATGCTCGGGTTGTAAGTCTGGACGGATGCCTGCGGGGCAGGGCAGGGGAGGATGCTGAGAGTGTTGGCAGGGAGAGAGCGGTCTTCGGATGCTGCAACGACAAGTTTGGAGGGAACGGTTCGGTTATGTGCATGCATGAGAGCGACTCGCAGCTGCGTGCTGTCGGGTTTGCGAGCTACCAGGTGCGAGCTGGAGTACACGAGCAGGAGGCTATAGAGCTCTTCAAGAAGTTCTATGCCCGTGAGAACAGCAAGGCGCCTGTACCCAAGAGGAGGAAGGATGAGGGAAAAGATGAGAGGGGAGGAGATGAAGGGAGGGGAGAAAGAGGAGATGGGGGCCAAGGAAAGGAGATTGAGCATGAGGGGTGAAGGAGGATTTGAGTGTAGAATGAGATGAAACAGAGTCGAGATTGGAACAAACGGGAAGCGAGGAAGGCATGAGGGGTGTGCGTGTGAAAGGAGCAAAGGAAGCAAGGAGGGAGACGAGAGAAGAGGAAGGGAGACGAGAGGAGATGGAGTCGAGAAGGTGGTGTAGGGAGGAGAGGGGAGGAGAGGGGAGGAGAGGGGAGGAGAAGGAGGTGGAGTAGCGGAGGTGGAGGAGAGGAGAGGAGAGGAGAGGAGAGGAGAAGGAGGTGGAGTAGAAGAGGGAACAAGGTGTAGGAGGGGTCGAAATAACATGCCGCTTTCTTAAATACACTCACACACTCCCGATGTGCCAAGTCTGCCATACCCCTTCCAAGAGCGTCAGTGGGACGGGTAGGGCGACTTCTAGAGGATCACCTTCATGGCAGAGCATGATGTCCGTTCCCCCGTTGATGAACGCTGCTTCGTAGCTGCGGGCCTCTGCTCAGCACGGCGATCGACAGCAGCCTGCGATCCTGGACTGACCTGAACGTGGAGGAGGTACTCCCGATGATGAGGTCGCAGCTCCCCAGCAGCAGCATCTCGAAGAGGGCCTGGAGGGAAGGTGAGGAGACGGAGAGCGGCAGGGGGACAGAGTCCCCAGAGGTCAGGCGCTCGGAGGGAGGGGGGGGCGGTTGGGGGAGGTGGTGGAGAGAAGAGCGGGGAGGAGGAGCAGGGAAGAAGGAGAGGGGAAGGAGGAGAGGGGAAGGAGAGGGGAAGGAGGAGCGGGGGATGGGAAGGAGGCAGGAAGGGAGAAGAGGGGGAGATGGGAGGAAGAGGAGGAGGGAGGAGAAGTGCCTGCAAGTATCTCCCTCTTGAGATCATGGGAGGAAAGTAAACGTGGGGCAGGAACTTCTTAACCAAGCCTTGCACGTTGATGTTGTCGGAGCAGACTAGGAGCGGGACAACCTTGTTGTCCTTCTTGTACCTCTGCACTGTATGGCCCAGCTGTGAGGGCGGTCAGAAGGCACGAGCTCTTCGGAAGGATGATGAAGATGTCTCACGATCTTCAAGAAGTCTTTGAGCTGGGTGTTCAGCCCGGCTTTCTTCTTGTTCTCATCATCTGCAGACCTCGTGAGCACCACCGACATGTGCCAACAAGACAGACGTAGGTTGTCCGTGTATCGTATGTGCACGCCGATGACTTTGCCTGACGCAATGATGGTGTGAAACGACGCGCAAGCTGAGCATCACAGCAGCGTCGCACCTGCTTCGAGCGTCGCCCGCATGTTCTCTATGTAGCCCCTGAGACGGTAGAAAATGAGACGAGAGGGGAGATATGAAGAAGGCGAAACCTTGCTTTCTCCTTCATGTCCCCCACCCACTTGAGCTTTCTGTCACATGGGCAAGTCAGGATCGGCTGCATAGCAAAGAGGGGATAGGGACCCGTAGAACTCTATCTTCGCACGGATGTACTCACTGTCCCTCATTCCCAGGGGCTTGATCTGAACTGGCACTGTCAGGGACTCCTCAACCGTCTGCAAGGGCAATTGTGCTATCACAGCGTAGATGGAAGAAATCGCCGTCCTGTTGCTTTCCAGCTTCGAAATGTTGCAGCTCCCCTGAGTGTCTTCACTCGAAAAGAACATGTCCAAGTGAAGCTCTACCTCTACGATGGGATGCCAGTTTGTACGAACATCTTGGCTCAGAAAGTCGTAGGCCGATTCCTGAGTCGCCTTCAGAAGCCCGCCCTCCCCCCCCCTTCGCATGCCAAACCTCGTGCTGCAAGGAGCATTGTTCCGACAAGTCATCATGGTTGACCTTGATAGCAGAACAATCAGCGCAAGGCTAACCGCCGTCCATTGCGCGTGTAGTACCTGCCTGAAGCAGCTCGGAAGGAACCGCGCGAAGAAAGCTGCGCAGATGGACTTTGACGGGTCTTCTCACCAACAGAACATGTCAACAACATGCCAAGATGTCTGATGTTGGTCATCACCTACAAGCAGCTCTCTGCCCGACTTCTCCGCAAGAATGCTGCACCTGTCATATTGAAGAACGTGAACCTCCGTCGCTGCCATGCCCAACGACTCACGTGCTCAGGTGCCGCAGCCCGTTAGCAAGCTGCGTGCCAACGGGAAACAGTGCCACGATGGCACGATCAGGGAGAACGGCTCGCCCTGGACCCTTTGGAGGATGTGACTTGTCCTCGATGCTAATTTGCTCCTGGCTGTGCGCATTTCGCAGGACGATCCTCTCATCGTTCATTGATGCTGCGAGCTTCTTGCTCTTGGAGTTCTCCCCCTGGTTGAGTAGCATAGGCTCGGTCATGGCAAGAGGGAGAGCAAACCTGCGGCGATGGCTCGTCCTGCATTGAAGGTTCGACTCAAAGAGGAACAGACAGGCCATGCTTGACAAGCGCATACACACCACGTGGGGGCACATCGAAGAGGAAGGCATAGGGAGAAAGAGGGAGGAAGAGGACAAGAGGAGCAGAGTGACAAGGGGAGGAGAGCTAAACGATTCACGAGGATGCTGATTTGTGCTCAGCCATTCGGTTTCTCCACCAACATGCCCCGATCGACATCATATAGGTCACATCGACTTGGACTGGCATGCACCATCGCAGATCTGATGTTCATCTTGCTCTTACTCTTGCGACTTACCATCCTCCTCCTTGGCTGCCGCTTCCTCCTGCTCCTGCTCCTGCTCCTGCTCCTGCTCCTCCTTTCGCCTCGCCCCCGGCGATGACCAGCACAGCAACCATCCCTAGCAACCATCGCATTCTTCCAGGCCCGAGGAGCACCCTCCACCCCCCCTTCAAGACTTTTCAAAATACCCTACCATACTTCTGATGAGCAACAAGGGGTCTGTGGTACCGGTGATAATACACCCCACCCTAGGGTCTAGAATCTGTCGGGGCATTGAAATGCGGAAGAAGCGACGATGGCAGGTGATGGACATGAAGGGAGAAAGGGAGGGGAGGGAAGGAGAGGAGGAGGAGGAGGAGGAGGAGGAGGAGGAGGAGGAGGAGGAGGAGGAGGAGGAGGAGGAAGAG